TAGATATTAGGATAGTTACACCATTTTACTTCTTAGGTCCATTTTATTGGAAAGTCTTTTCCCATTCCTTTACTCTGAGGTAGTATCTGTCTTTGAAGTTAAGGTGTGTTTCTTGTATGCAGCAGAAGGATGGATCCTGTTTTCTTATCCATTCTGTTAGTCTGTGTCTTTTTATAGGTGAGTTGAGAACATTGATATTGATGGATATTAATGACCAGTGATTGTTAATTCCTGTTATTTTTTGTGGTAGTGTTGCGTTTTCCTTCTTTGGTATTTGTTGGTGTGGGATTATCTATTGCCTGAGTTTTCATGGGTGTGTTTAGCTTCTTTAGGTTGGATTTTTCCTTCTAGTGTTTTCTGTAGGGCTGGGTTTGTGGACAGATATTGGTTAAATCTGGTTTTATCATGGAATATTTTGTTTACTCCATCTATGGTGATTGAGAGTTTTGCTGGGTATAATAGTCTGGGTTGGCATCCGTGGTCTCTTAGTGTCTGCATAACATTTGTCCAGGACCTTCTGGCTTTCATAGTCTCTATTGAGAAGTCTGGTGTTATTCTGATGGGTCTGCCTTTATATGTTACTTGGTCTTTTTCCTTTGAAGCTCTTAATATTTTGTCTTTGTTCTGTGTGTTTAGTGTTTTGATTATTATGTGGCAGTGGGACTTTTTTTTGGGATCCAGCCTATTCGGTGTTCTGTAAGCTTCTTGTATCTTCATAGGTATTTCTTTCTTTAGGTTAGGAAAGTTTTCTTCTATGATTTTGTTGAATATATTTTCTGTGCCTTTTAGTTGGTATTCTTCTCCTTCTTCTATCCCTATTATACTTAGGTTTGGTCTTTTCATGGTGTCCCAAATTTCTTGGATGTTTTGTGTTACAACTTTTTGTCTTTAGTGTTTTCTTTGACTGATGAATCTATTTTCTCTATTGTGTCTTCAGTGTCAGAGATTTTCTGTTCCATCTCTTAAATTCAGTTGGTTATGCTTGCTTCTGTAGTTCCTGTTCGTTTAGTCAGGATTTCTACTTCCAGCATTCCCTCAGTTTGTTTTCTTTATTGTCTCAATTTCAATTTTCAAATCTTGAATTGTTTCCTTCATCTGTTTAATTACTTTTTCTTGGCTTTCTTTGATTTCTTCCAATTTTTTGTTTTTTCTTCCATTTCTTTAAGGGAATTTTTTATTTCCTCTTTAAGGGATTTTTTCATTTCCTCTTTAAGGGAGTTTTTCATTTCCTCTTTAAGGGCCTCTATCATCTTCTTAAAGTCATTTTTAGGATTGATTTCTTCTGCTTCTTTTGCCTTGGTATGTTCAGGTCTTGCAGGTACAGAGTCGCTAGGTTCTGATGTTGTCTTTATGTTGTTGCCTGTATTTTTGCACTGGCATTTACTCATCTCTTCCTCTGATTGGTGAAGGTTGTGTCTGTGTCTGAAGGTGCCTCTCTTGTTCTAATTGTTAGTCTTGGTCCACTAGGAGTTCTTGGTTAAATCAGTGCTGTTGGGCTCTGTTTCTCCGGGAGCAGCTTAGTCCAATCAGTGTTAGTGGGTTCTGTCTCAGGGATCAGTTGTTCCCAGTTAGTGCAGGGTGTGCTTATGGTTTCAGTGGTTGTTAGGTTCGTAGAGTTTTTTTTGTTTTTGTTTTTGTTTTTGTTTTTTTTTTTTGGTGGGGGAGCAGGGAAAGGTAGCTGTTTGGTCCCTGGGACTCCAATGGGTAGGGCCTAGGGGCTAGAGACCTGATCTGCCGGTTCGGAGATGAGGCCTTACCTGTTCCCAGTGGGTGTAGTGTAGGTTTATGATTCTGGTGATCTGGTTAGGTGGCTGGACGGCGCCTTCTTTTGTGTTCTCAGGTCACGTTTTGCTCATTCGTCAACTCCTCAGTGGATCTTGTTTCCTCAGACTGCAGACTGTAGGATTCTGAATCCTCTCCCGAATGAATCTCAGCTGAGCAGGTTGTTTAGTAGGGTAATCTCACCAACTCCTCCAAGTTGTTGGGTTTTGCAGGATCAGCAGCTGAGCCCTGGGTTGGCCTCAGACAGAGTGTTCGGATCCGTTCTAGGTCACAGCTGCCTCATGCCTCGAGTCATCACTTTCCGTAGAAAGGCCACAGTCTCTTGCTGTGAGTCAGAAGTTCCCCAAATGTCCCGACACAATTCAGAAGCAGAAGGGAAGGGACAGCAAACAGACTCGGTGGGGGCTGTCTAGCTCATCTTTGAACTGAATCATATGGACTTAGAATTACTTTACTGATGCTTCCTGCTTTATAACCAGCTGTTCGTAATTTATTTGCATCAGGATAAAATGTAAGGGCTCCAGGTGCTTTTCTCACTATGCAGGGAAGAATCTATTCAGTTCTTTTTATACATTGAAGTTCCTTATTTTTTTTAACTTTGTTGTTAATTTCTCCTAAGAAATTACTTCGAGCCCTTTGCCAACTGTCATTAATCACCAACAATTGCAAGATTTCAGCATTAGTATAGGGTACTACAGTCTCAGCTGGATCCTTTCCTGACAACTGATGAAGTCTTATTCTTCCCTTTATGATTAATTCAGAAACCCTTTTTATATATGTCTTTAACTTTTTACTTTGTTTGTGAGCTAGAAAAATCTATTCCAAAATATTATCGCCCCTCTCATAATGAGTCCAGTAGGGGAATGATTGGAAGGTACAATTATGAAAATACATTCAGTTGTGAAATCTAATCGATCCACAGAGGCATTTTGTACGTTTTGTTCTACTTGGGATAATTCCCTTTCAGCCTCAGCTGTTAATTGTCTTGGACTGTTTAAATCTGAGCTATCTTGAAAAAATTGAAACAAATGACTTAATTCTTAAATAGACAATCCAATGGTAGGCTGCAACCAGTTAATACCATCCAATAATTTTTTAATATCATTAAGAGTGTGGAACTGAAAAAAAAAAAGCTGGGCAGTGATGGCGCATATCTTTTTTTTTTTTTTTTTTTTTTTTTGGTTTTTCGAGACAGGGTTTCTCTGTGTAGCTTTGCGCCTTTCCTGGGACTCACTTGGTAGCCCAGGCTGGCCTCGAACTCACAGAGATCCGCCTGGCTCTGCCTCCCGAGTGCTGGGATTAAAGGCCTGTGCCACCACCGCCCGGCTGATGGCGCATATCTTTAATCCCAGCACTCAGGAGGCAGAGCCAGGCGGATCTCTGTGAGTTTGAGGCCAGCCTGGGCTACAGGGTAAGTTCCAGGAAAGGAGCCAAAGCTACACGGAGAAACCTAGTCTCAAAAAACAAACAAAAAAGTGTGGAACTGATCTCTTCTAATCTGTACCTTTTGCTGCTGAATTCTCTGTTTACTTAATTTAAATCCTAAATAACTAAGAGAATCTCCTTAGTTATTAGTATTTTTTTTTTTCAGGAGAAATTTGTAATCCCCAACAGGGTAAAATTTTCTGTATTACATTAAACATTTTTTTCCTAAGATATTTGTATCAGAAGCAGTCAATAAAATGTCACTCCACCCATACAGGCTCATTAGTTAGCCATTTCAAAGGCAGAGCAGTTGGGTTACCAGCAGTGGCCCCTACTCTAAATTTGGATGGCCAATTCCTGTTGGACAATCTGTATAGCCTGTGACTTTCCTTGACAACTTTTTCCAATACCTTTTCCAGAACATACCCCATTTTAAACATCATTTAGAAGCTGTTTCTGAAATTGTAGGAATATTCATTTGAGCTCCTCATCGTTGCAACACATCTCCCCCCCAGGAACTCATGGCTATATCAGCTACGTAAGGCTTTAACATCCCTATTCGTCCTTCAGGCCCTACACATCCAATCCACTCTACACTCTGTTTTACCTAAGATAAGTTTCCAATGCCTACAAATTCTTTTAAAGGCCAGTTGGGATCCCAGGATTCTTGTGAAATTATAGATACATCAGCACCAGAATCCAATAATCCTTCAATATCAACCTCATTTAGTTTTATTTTCAGTTTAGGCCTTTCATCATTGATGACTGTTTGTCAAATACCTTTTCGCCCATACTTCCAAAACCTTCTCTCCTACATATAGGAGCTGCTTTACCTTTAAAACATGGGAGTAATAACAACTGAGCAATTCTATCACCAGCTTCTCTTCGCATAGTTCTTTTTACATATGCCATAATTTTACTTTCACCCTGGTAATCTTCATCTGTAATTCCTGGGTGTACAATAAATCCTTGAGACATTAAACCGCTTCTTCCCAAATTATTCCTACTGCTCCTCGGCGAAGGGGACCATACACCGCAGCGGCTATTCTATAACAAGGAATTTGTGGAGATAACAAAGGATGTTTGACCACTGCCAGGTCTAAAGCAGTGCTTCCTGAGTAGCATGCCTTAAATCCCCAATGCTGAGCCTGTGTTCCCCCAACAGCTGGTGATAAGTCATCCCATTGCATCGGAAAATAGGTAGCTCATCTTGTTTGTTCCTGGGCCCCAAGCTAAGCCCTTCATCAAGTTTCCTGAAGGTAAAGAATTACCATGCATATCTCTCTTTGGTCTACCTCTGCTGTAGGGCTGGCTCCCAGGCTCCCTGACATTCTCCGACTTGGTGTTGGAGGGAGATGGGGGTCTGTTCGAACTCACCAAAACCAGTCACAAGGCTGTTAGGCCACAGCGGTGGGCAGTCCACGGCTGTTTAGGGTTTGGGGACAATTCAAGATGGTTTGTCTCTGGTCTTCAACACTCCATCCAGCTCTCCGCGAGCAAGAGAGTTCGCCAAGCCAACGTGGCGGAGGGGAGGGGTGTGATGTCACCCTTGGGGGCCAGTCGGGGGCGTGGTCTATGCAGATGAGGGGCGCGCAGGGGCTGCCGGTCCGCACCCGCTGCGGAAACGCGAGGGATTTGGCGCGGCGTGGGAGGGAGCGCGGGTCCGCGGGTGACAGCGGAGCGCAGGAACCGGGCGCGGGTCCGGGGAGGCCCGCGATCGCTGGCGGCGAAGTGACCGTGTGTTGAGAGCGCAGGTCCGGGGTGTCTGGGCGGTGTGTGGTGGGGAGGCGAGCATACTTACCTGGCAGGGGAGACACCATGATCAAGCAGGTGGTTTTCCCAGGGCGAGGCTCAGCCATTGCACTTGGGGTGTGTTGACCCCTGCGATTTCGCGATTTCCCCAGATGCGGGAAACTCGACTGCGGAATTTGTGGTAGTGGGGACGGCGTCTGCGCTCTCCCCTGACGTTTTCGTGTAACAAAAAACAGACACCTTCTTCCACTTCCACCTTTGCTGTACTATTTACTACGTGTTTGCAGCAGCTGAAATCAGGACGGGGAGCCCAAGAGCTCTTCAGCATTTGGATTGACCTCTTTGCACTTTTCACAAGAAACTTAAGAGGTTCTAGCTTAATACAAAATCAAAAACAAACAAACAAAAGCCAAACAGACAGGAAAAGCAGTATTGGAGTCTTTGCCTGACAGCCAAACCGCACTTTTAGGAAAACAGGTCCCAACTTGGGTTTCCTAGTAAAGACCTTCCTTTCTTTCTCGGTTCCCGTGTTGAGCATGAGCACCACACCCGGGTCCCGCGCCAGCAACACCACTGTCCAAACCTGTTGTAAGTTGAGTCAAAACGAGTCACCCTAGAAACCGCTGATAGAAGCAATTCGTGTTTTTGCGGTTAATTTAAAAGAACAAACCCACCCGCGTGACTTTATTGTCTTCTAACGAAGCTGGCCCCGACCCCCGGCTGGCCGAGGGACCCGGCGTCCCGGAGCCGCCGGCCGCTCGCCCCGGGTCCCTGAGGTTCGCGCGAGCTCGGGGAGCGGGTGCGCGGCGCGGGTCCCGGCGGGGCGCGGGCCCGGGGGGCTTCGGGCTCGGTCGTCCCAGGTGTGGCGGCCGCGGGGACGCCGGCCTCACCAAGGAGACGCCGCCCGGCCACCGCACCGTCTCTGTGGCGCAATCGGTTAGCGCGTTCGGCTGTTAACCGAAAGGTTGGTGGTTCGAGCCCACCCAGGGACGGCGGGCCTTAGGCTTTTAACAGCTTTCCCAAGAAACAGCCGCTTGTGACCGACTGGAAATGCACGATCCTGCAGTCTGCTCACAGATCCTGGAGACCACACAGTACTCCAGCCTGTGTAAAATAAGCCCTACCCTCCCCTGTCACTCATTATTCACGGCCAGGCCTCTGGCAAGGAAAATTACAACAGCAAAGCCTTTTTTTTTTACCGCCCCCCCTCCCCCGGAATGGGGGCAGCAGCGGACAAACCCCCTGCAGCTGTCTTTGGTGTATTACGGAATGGGAAGAGTAGGAATCCTTTCTCAATAAAAGAAAATTATGGACAGCAAGTCCCCAAAGCACGGGACACAGACCGGATTTTAATAAAACAGGTAAACTTTACACTACCGTTTAAAGACACGCATACGAGAAGGGCGACCCCGCAACGTAATTGGTAATCAGAAAACCCTGGCACCCATTTAATTCGAAAACCACGTGCTGTGGAAACATAAATCACAGGCACGGGCAGGACGGGCCGCGTGGTAAGGAATCCCGGGCCGTGGGGTTTGGGTCTCTGCAGACGGGCGTCCACCGAAGCCTCCGGACCGCTGGCTTGCTGCCCTGCTCTCTGCGAGGCCCCGTAGCAGTCTGCCCCTCCCGCGGGGCTCCAGCCTCAGCCGACAGCGGCGGAAGTCTGTCCCGTGCAGAGTTCACGCCCTGAGCCCACTCGGTGGAGTGGAAGGAGAGAACTGACTCCTTCAAGTTGCCGCCTTATCCCCACAGCATGCTGGGACACGTGTGCTCACAAGCACATGGGAGCTTACACAAACACACGAACATAATTTAAAACGGTTTTCTGCATGTCCATCAAGCAGGTTCTTCTTCAGCCTCTGTCTTTTATACTGAGATTATTCCACCACTTTTAAACGTGAGTGTCTGTCAAATGGATTTCAAATTAATTCCAAATAGCCCATCGAATAGTATTTGTTCTGTGACTCAACTAATAAAAGCGTTTCATGTAACGCCATCACGCGCTTAAAGAGCGCATCCAGACACAATCCGTCTCCCGTCTGCCATCCCGCACTGGGATGAGCCCAGGTTGTGTTAAGTGTCCCAGTGCGTTGGTCTGTGTTCTCAGTGGGGCTCTGGAGAACGGACCGCCGTGGGAGTGCGGCTCATGCTTCTCACATCGCTTTGACCAAGACACTATATATATATAGTAGATAGATAGATAGATAGATAGATAGATAGATAGATATAGATATAGATATAGATATATATGGAGTATAGATATATAGATATATATACATATAGATATATATGGAGTATTCTTATTTTCTTGTGTCGATTAGATCATAGAGTGTATTCTATGGAAACTGTAGTCTTGTTGCTTAGTTAGAACGGGTTTTCATCTTCAATAGTTATTCAGCATGTGGATGATAAAGATTTTACTCTCAAGGGGGTGGAGCAGCACACATAAAACAAGCTTTTCCACTTGTGATGTGTTACCACTAAGACAAAACACCAGACAGAACATTCAGACCCTGTATCATCCTGACCAAGACCAAAATTAGGGGTGGGGTGTTACGTCCGAGGTCTTGGGCGTGGTTGACGGTGAAGGCGAATTTATGAGTGCCCCGGAGATGCCCCGGCCCGCGCGGCTGGAGCACGAAATCTGGCGAGGGACGCCGAGGTTAAACAGCACTCAGGACACCCAGTTTCAGTCCGTCAGGGAAGCAGCTCTCTTTACTGGTACCGACATGGGCTTGTATACCCCTCTAACAGCAGGAGTCAAGGAATGGTTACTCTGTATCCGTAGGCAAGCCCGACACTGTTTTCCAAACAGGAAAAACCCCAGGGGAACTGATCCCCAGCACCCTCCGGAACCCAACTGCACATTTTTCACACAGACAACTTAACTGGGACAGGACAGAAAAGGGCATTTAAAATTCAGGCAGCAAACTTACTGCTGCCGACAAGTGGTGGTAGGTGAGCTTGACGCAAAAGATCGCCGGGTAGAACGGCGATAGTGCCGTGACTCGGATTCGAACCGAGGTTGCTGCGGCCACAACGCAGAGTACTTACCACTATACGATCACGGCGAGCCACACGCCCCTCGGGTGTCCCGACTTCGGAGGCGCCGGTCCTGCATCGGGGTTTCTCCCGCTGCTGCGTTGGGAGCGGCCCGGGGCACGATCTGCGCCTCGGTCGGGTGGAGAGGGCGGCGGCTGCTAACTGGGAAGCGCGTGGGTCGATGCCACTCCTGCGGGAGCAGTGTTTCCCCAAGCACGGGACAGACTTCCGCCGCTGTCGGCTGAGGCTGGAGCCCCGCGGGAGGGGCAGACTGCTACGGGGCCTCGCAGAGAGCAGGGCAGCAAGCCAGCGGTCCGGAGGCTTCGGTGGACGCCCGTCTGCAGAGACCCAAACCCCACGGCCCGGGATTCCTTACCACGCGGCCCGTCCTGCCCGTGCCTGTGATTTATGTTTCCACAGCACGTGGTTTTCGAATTAAATGGGTGCCAGGGTTTTCTGATTACCAATTACGTTGCGGGGTCGCCCTTCTCGTATGCGTATCTTTAAACGGTGGTGTAAAGTTTACCTGTTTTATTAAATGCAGTCTGTGCCCTGTGCTTTGGGGACTCGTCCATAATTTTCTTTTATTGAGAAAGGATTCCCACTCCACCCATTCCGTAATACACCAAAGACAGCTGCAGGGAGTTTGTCCACTGGTGCCCCCATTCCGGGGGAGGGGGGCGGTGAAAAAAAAAAAAGGCTTTGCTGTTGTAATTTTCCTTGCCAGAGGCCTGGCCGTGAATAATGAGTGAAAGGGAAAGATAGGCCCTTTATATGCACAGGCTGGAGTACTGTGTGGTCTCCAGGATCTGTGAGCAGACTGCAGGATCGTGCATTTCCAGTCGTTCACAAGCGGCTGTTTCATTGGGAAAGCTGTTAAAAGCCTAAGGCCCGCCGTCCCTGGGTGGGCTCGAACCACCAACCTTTCGGTTAACAGCCGAACGCGCTAACCGATTGCGCCACAGAGACGGTGCGGTGGCCGGGCGGCGTCTCCTTGGTGAGGCCGGCGTCCCCGCGGCCGCCACACCTGGGACGACCGAGCCCGAAGCCCCCCGGGCCCGCGCCCCGCCGGGACCCGCGCCGCGCACCCGCTCCCCGAGCTCGCGCGAACCTCAGGGACCCGGGGCGAGCGGCCGGCGGCTCCGGGACGCCGGGTCCCTCGGCCAGCCGGGGGTCGGGGCTCCGGGGCTCCACGCCGGCGGGCTCGCGGCCCCGGCGCCCAGCAGGACTCGGCGGAGGAGCCCAAGGGCGCTTTAGGGTCCGGTCCTCTGCAGACCCCGAGCACGGACGCGCGAGGGCTCGTCCCCCCGGTGTGTGCTGGAGCCTCGGCGCGGCCCGCGTGGGAAAGGCGGCGAGTGCGGTGCCGGTGCTCGGGGAGGCGGACGGGAGGGAGACGGCGGGACTGGACCCGGGGTGGAGGGGGACGGGCGGGCGCGAGGGTGGCGTGGGTGGGGTGCGGACACGCCGCCGGGCCGGAGGAGGCGCGAGCCCCGTGGAGCCCCAGGGCGCACGTACCCAAGAGACTGGAGCGTTTAGAACCGAGCGGACGCAGTGGAAGCCAACTTCGTTAGAAGACAATACAGTCACGCGGGTGGGTTTGGTTTTGTTCTTTTCAATTCACCGCAAAAACAGGGGAGTGGGGGGAATCGAACAAAGCAGAGGAAGAATTGCTTCTATCAGCGGTTTCTAGGGTGACTCGTTTTTGCTCAACTTACAACAGGTTTGGACAGTGGTGTTGCTGGCCCGGGACCCGGGTGTGGTGCTCATGCTCAACACGGGAACCGAGAAAGAAAGGAAGGTCTGGACTAGGAAACCCAAGTTGGGACCTGTTTTCCTAAAAGTGCGGTTTGGCTGTCAGGCAAAGACTCCAATACTGCTTTTTCTGTGTGTTTGTCTTTTGTTTGTTTGTTTTTGATTTTGTATTAAGCTAGAACCTCTTAAGTTTCTTGTGAAGAGGGTAAAGAGGGCAATCCAAATGCAGAAGAGCTCGTGGGCTAACGGTCCTGATTTCAGCTGCTGCAAACACGTAGTAAATAGCACAGCAACGGTGGAAGGGGAAGGTGTCTGTTTTTTGTTACAGCGAAATACCAGGGAGAGCGCGGACGCAGTCCCCACTACCACAAATTCCGCAGTCGAGTTTCCCGCATGTGGGGAAACCGCAGGGGTCAA